TTCTTGCATAATAGAAACTGGACCCGCCGTCTGTAGAGGATGCAGCTAACTTATGAGCTGCCTGCTTTTGCGCCAAAGTGATGCTGATGCTGCGTCGTCAAACCAATGGGCTCCGTATGAGTCAAAGACAGTGAGTCTAGTGCTTATGAACCTGATCTTAGTTGACACACTCTTGTATTACAGATGTTTCTTCTTGATACCATCGATAACCTACCTCGGTGCCCTGTCTCCAATTCACTCATGCAGGTATTTCTTTGGACTCTCAAGGAGACAGGTGCCCGTGATGTCCCTTCGCTCTACAAGCTTCGCCATACACAAGAGAAACTACGCCAGAAGTGTGGCGTACCCTCTATACGATGCCAGTCTGAACTCGGGAATGTCTTCTACATGAATGATATTCGGAGTATCATTGCCAAGGTGCGTGACGCTGTGGAAAAATTATGGTACAACTCAGCTCATACTTGTCTGTAATTTCAATAGGATTGGGCAAACCCTCAGACTCGATCATATATCCATGTCTATCCTGAGGTCCCAGAGGGTGGAATCCGTGAGGTCTGGCATGCTAATAAGTGGCGCCACGAGATGGACACACGGATGCTCAGCCCAATGTACGATGCCGGTGCTGGTAAGCACTTCTATGTCGACGAGCTGGCCAAGCTGCAGAATGGAACCTTTGTTATTCCTATACGCTGGGTTGTAGTCCATGGTGAAGTTCATGCAGATGCATTTACTGTAACAATTGACCAAAGTGTGAGCCATGCCCTTCGTCCTCTCAAGCAGGTCCAACAGTTGGAGGCTGAATAAAATTTTGAAGGGTATGGCTTCAGTTAACGATGCTGAATCTATCGATATTGAAGCAAATGCCCTTTGCTACAACTACCATGATTTGGCAGAAGCCAAGGTACTACCACACAGCTGGGATGGTAGGGCTATTTTCTTTTGGCAATTTTAAAGCTTCACTGATAGATAATTCATTCTTAGAGCGAGCAACTAGCTGGAGATATCCTGAGAACATGCCCAATCACTTGCGAGAGGTTGCGCAGGGAGATCCACTGTACACCAGCTTTGTCGACTATTTTGGAGATGATGTATCCGGTAATCACTCAAAGTCTTGGAACAAACACTGGAATGCCTATGTCACACATCGGAATCTGCCACGCGAGCTTCTGCAGCAAGAATTCCATACGCACTTTTTATCCACTTCCCAGCATGCCTCGATTGCCGAACAGTTCATGGCGTTTAAGAAAATCCTCGAATCTACGCACACCAACCCTGTTGTTGTCCGGGACGGCATCACCGGAGAGAACGTCCGCTTCCGGCTTCATGTCAATGCTCAACCATCTGACAACCCCATGCAGAGTGAAGTATCTGCTCATATCAGTGGACGTGGTAATTGCTACTGTCGAAAGTGCGATGCAGGTGGAACAAAGGCACACAAGGAGACAAATGCAGGCTACCACAGCCTTTTCCAGGTTGGGACACCACGCACCAAGGAAGGAATACTTCGAGAACTCGAGAAGCAGGTCGCGGTGGCATGTATGGGCGTTGCAAAATCCGTTAAAGATCTCCAGACAGCCACAGGAGTCAAGAATCTATATACTCAGCATTGGATCAACCGCTTGCTCGAGCGTGCACGGCAGATGAAGAGAGACAATAGCTCACGCACTAAGGACTCAATACGCGATGAGCTCCAACAGTGGGTTGAAGAACACAAGGAGATAATTATCAGCCCTTTCTTCACCGTTGATGGATTTGATCCAACACAGGACACACCCATCGAGATCCTTCACACTATTCTTTTGGGGATGACAAAGTATGTCTGGCATATGACCCATATACAGTGGACTATGGAGCAGAAAAATCTCTACGCTCATCGGCTTCAGGCAACAGATGTCAAAGGCCTATCAATCCCTGCAGTCCGTGCTCAGTACATCATGCAATATGCGAGTTCTCTTGTGGGTCGCCAGCTCAAGACGATTACACAAACAATCTCGTTTCATGCCTACGATCTTGTACTGCCACTTGTGTTTCAGCTTTGGCTAGCAGCAGGAGAGTTTTCATCTCTTATTTGGTTCCCTGAGATACAAAATCTAGACGAGTATCTGGTATGTCTATAGTTCGACGTCAGGAATAGATGCTAATTGGTACATCTCAGGATGACATTGAGGTCGCTCTTGCAAATGTGCTCGATACATTCTGTGATATAGAGCCAAGCAAAATAGTTGAGAAGGTCAAGCTACACCTACTGACGCATACACGATACGACATCCTTCACTTTGGACCCTTGCCGGGTCAAGCCACAGAAGGCCATGAAAGCTTCAACGCTGTCTTCCGGCACTGCTCCGTCTTCTCAAACCATTTAGCCCCAAGCCGTGACATTGCCAAGCAGCTTGCTCAGCAAGAGGGGATGAAACATCGTCTTACAGGTGGCTACTGGCCAGATAACGAGAGCGGAGACTGGTGTAGGGCAGGCCCGGGTGTGCGTGTCAGCAACTAACAATCCAACTGGACTGAGCTACGACAAAGCTGAGGAGACAGACGAGAGGAAAGTGAGTGAGGAAAGACCAGCTCGAGTCTGGCTTGTTATTGAGCAGTACAAGCTCCTTATATACATGTCAGACTGAATACCTAGAATATCCTACAAATATACGGAGGTGTATAGAAAGTGAAAGAATACCATGGAATCCGGGAGAAGCATCCGGATTGTGTAATATTCATGACAGTGCGCAACTACCTGGAAAGACATCCTATCCTGCAGCGCCTGCTTGGCTGGACAGAACACCTGCGACAGGCCCCTGGTCAGTGCGCCATCAAGTACTATGACATGGAAGCAACTCATGTGTGGCTTATCCCAGGTTCGTCAAAGCCAATACCTCTCAAGAAAGGCGAAAAGTCTCGCCCTATACAGCGACTAGCAGAAACAAAGGCATCAAAAGCATTATACTATGACAGTAGCAAAGGAGACTCGCAGTGGATTAGTGGCAGAGCAGTTGTCGCACAATCTGCAGAGGAGTGTTTTCCTGGCTCTTGGGTGTTTGTTCGTTCACCTGCAATAGTATGTCATACCTCTTGGCATACTAGACGACAGCGCTGCACAAATAACTTACCTGTCTTTGGGCTACAGGACACTGGCAACGAATCGCTCGTTGGAGTCATCATAGAGATTTTAATCTCCACGGCCAGAAAGGAGCCGGAGGCGGTGGTTGTTATTGAGAGGTTTTCTGTTGCTGAGCGGCGTCATCCCCGGTGGAATATGCCATACATGTACCGACCGAATGCTGAGTCAGTGCTCGTGCTTATCCCTGCAAAGGTACGTAGTGAGTACAATCTTACTACTGGCTATTAATAACCATGCCACATGGGCCATTTAGAACGTCGAGTTCGCATTCAATGCCCAGCATGATTGCCCGTCCGCTGGCTGTGCAATCTCAGGTACGCGCATGGCCGTCCAGGAGCGCGAAGCATCAGGAAAAGAAGAGGGATACATGGAGCACAAGCACTCACTTGCCGACAGATTTATTGTCAACACACACAGCTTCCATAATGCGCATCTCTTGCGCTCAGCCCTTCCTCGATACTTGACAAAGCCAATTCCCCTGTATCCGGATCGATGGGCCAAAACATAAGGAGCAAGCAAAG